GCTGGCGTGGCTCTTAACTTGTGGAAATGTCAATTACACCGCAGGTTAATGACTTACTTATTAAAAAGTGTCTCTCATAACTTGTATGTATTTACATCACTAGTCAAAGCAGCAAGGGAGCGGTCCCATATGGCCGCTGGGAATTACATTAACGCCACGCTGATTGATATAAGTCTTAGATATTATTGTCATTTATTCCGTTTTACTACTTTGCTAAGTACGGGATTAATATACCTTAACGTTAAACCTGCGTTCTGAATATATGTCCACATTCATAATTAATCCGTAGTCAAAACATAATTTGCAAAATGTCACCCGCTTTGTATAAAGAATGCCTTTATCCATTTATTTCTCAAATGGTCATCAACAAAAGCAATAGGTTTCATGAACAGTTATTGTTTTATCTTTTAAAGTGACTAGATTAAATAAATCAATTGTTTTTATTTATCACATTGTTGATTTTAAAAAGACACACGTGCAAGAATTACAGTCAAAAAGTTGCCAATAGTGTCATCTCGACTGAACAATGTAGGCGGAAGAAATCATTTTGCATCTCACGCCGTAAAGAAACAGCTGTAGTTGAAGTAGTTTCTGTAGATCGAATTAACCTATGACGTGTGTTTAGCCATGGCATGCTTTTTCTATGAATTTTTCACACGGAAATATAGAAAAGTGGTCACTTAAATCATTTGCATTTTTTTAACATTATTCACTGACATTTTTACTAATGAACATTGCTTCTTAATTATATAAATAAGTTACTAATGTATTATCTCCAACTTAGTATGTTATATGAATAAACTTTAACCTGTAAGGAAGGCTGGTTTATTTCTGATGTAGTTTAAAAGTAAAAAGCATGTGGAAATATAAGTGATAATTGAATATATTTTCTTTGATTGTTCTTTTATTTCAATAAACAGAGAAACTAATTAAAACATCCCGATTGAGACAATTGCACGAAGAAGTTTTTATTGTTCTTAAGTACGTTTTTTTTATTAAAACGACAGTAGCATACATGGTGGACTTGTTATTCCTTCAGTTTTACTGAGTCCAATTATTTTAGTGTTGATGATATACGGTGCTGTGGGCATGAGAGATTATACAATTTTAATTGTATCTCATGAACAGACTTAATAAAGCCGAGACAGTGGTTTTTAACTGTTGTTGTTTTCTTTGTTCTCGACCGGTCTTCTGTTCCTAGAATTGTTAACATATATCATATCATGATTAATATTATATGCAGGAGCGATAGGAGAAATAAGATAATTTAAAATAAATAAACAGTTGAAAAATGTCAAGTCGAATGACAGAATAAAGCTACACGCTTTTAATTATATTGCAATGAAAACAGTTGAGTTGCAATAATAAAATTTAAACAACCTATTCTCCTTTTGTGACTCGGTCAATGACGAATAATGCAAATAAACTTTAATACAGATTGATAAAATCATTAACTTAAACAAAACTATGAAAACAATACATGTTTTTCTAGATGGCTGTTTCAATGTTTTGTCTAGACATGCTGGTACTTAAAGATGAATTGATAAAGCTTGAAAAAAATTATTCAAGATTGATTAACCCGGTAATACGTAGTAATTCGTCGCAGCTTGCTTCTGCTTGTCTTAAGGCCATTCAAAATAAATCTGCAATTTTCTCCCTAATACGAAAATATGTGAAAGAGAAAGCAGTTCAATGAATGAGTTTAAAAATCTAAACATGTATATTAATATTCCGACGTGCATTAGAAAAATTCCAAATGATAAGTAATGTGTTTATACTTAATTTCGAATCTAGTTACTATGTTTGATAAGGTCACAAGGTGCTTATGCTGCTGACCGTTCCAAGGCGGCACCCCTCTGTGTTCCTCAGATGAATGTCTGTTGTTTCATGCTATTTTGGTGACGCTTTTGTGCTCCTTGTTGTTTTCTCGTCTACGGTAAGACGGTATCTTCCCCTTGCCCCTTGTTTTGTTTTTGTTTTTGCCCCCCCCCCTCCCTTCCCGACCTTCTATTCCCCTTCCCCTAATCCCCTTAACATTTGTAGGCCTATTAATTAATCGCCTCTTTGATTTCATTGTCGATTCCTATTATTTCATATTTTATATTACTATAGTAATCACCCCGTCCGTGCTTTTCCTTATGCCCTGTCCTGTTTTAATTTGGGTTCTGTTGGGCTCCTTGCCGGTATTCCTGTGTTGCTGGGTCGTGTGGGGGTTGCGTTCATTGAACGCCGCCCTTTCTTGTTGATCTTGTTTTTCATATTTTGTTATTCATATTGCATGGCTAAGAGTTTTGTCTAAGATTAAATATGAGGTAAAAGATAAACAATAGACAGCAAAGTTACGGAACGCATCAAGCAATATCCTACAGCAACGACTCCCAAAGGAGAAGGTTATAAAACATATCCAAGCTGAATGCGGTGGCTAAACTATGCTTTGATAAATTCAAAATGTGGCTTACTGTCGTGATCCGGAGTGAAAACTACCAACACCACCACAATATCCACGCTTTTGTACTATAGAAGGGAATATCCGTCAGTTAATGTATTATGCCTACTTGATATTTCAACATGAAAGTTCATACAACACGTGTTTTAGTATTATTATTAATCGCACATAACATGTAAAATATCACTTAAATCTTAAATATTTTTATTTTTCTTTAAGTCTTAGTACATTTCTCTCAGGTTTGATTTTATTGAAATATTTTGGCTCATCTGGAAGAACGCAGCTTTAAGCACACGAATAATTTGTGAATAAGTATGTGAAAACAAACAGATATATATAATTTTAAGAATATTATTTGTATATCCACCATCAGTAATGATAATAATCTTTGGTTAGTGAATATAAAATGATTATACAAATTAATTCAAAACAATATTAATAATATTATATAGTTTTATTTCATATTCATGTTTATGCCCCAACTATACTTACGGAAGGAGAGGGCATATAGATTTACTTTTGTTCTTTGTCCCGCTGTCACTTTATCAAGTTGTCCGTACGTAGATTGGCATAATAGTAAAATGTAAGGGCGTCCGTGACCTAGGAACACATTTCTAGTTTCACAACAAAACCAACATAATGCATTTGCGACCAGCATGCATCCGCGCAGTCTGATCAGGATCCATGCTGTTCGCTTACAAACCCTATTACAAGTAGAGAAAGTGATAGCGAACAGCGCGGATGCGCAGCCTGGTCTGGATCCATGCTGGTCGCAAATGCATAACGTTGGTTTTGTCGTGACTTGGCTCATTTCTAGTTTCACATACCGATTTATGTAGAAATAATAAACAAAATATATTAGATACAAGTATATGTAAAACATGCAGTAATTCATGTTCAATATGTACTGACATGCTAAAACAAAAGGTTTAATTTTTTCAACTTATTTGAGGACAGGAAACACATTTATTTATATTATATCCTTCTCCTCTTTTTTGTCAACACAAATACATACAGCTGGCAAACCGTACTGAGCAACAATTTATTTACTTATCAAGTCATGGAATCATTTAAACATTATGGTGTTTTACTTACATTGGCTACAGTAACGACAATGTTATACATTACGACAAAAGGTAATATCTCTTTATTGTATTTGTTTGTACTTAAATATGTCACATATTTTTCTAAATTGAAAATTGCACACTGACCTTTCAAATAAGCAACTGACTGACTGACTGACTGACTGACTGGTTGATTGATTGATTGATTGATTGATTTTAAAGTCAAGCCGATAGTGCAAAGGCATGAGCATGTGCCTGAAAAGCACCACTTATGTTCCGTAAACTAGATGGATAGCTTCCTCACATGCAAGAAAATAAAACGCAATACCGACTTCAAACCAAGATCAGTAAAATACATGTGGTATAGGGTCAACATACTTAACCATGCGGTCATTGACCTTTCAAATTAAAACCTTTAAACTCATTTTGAATGTTAATATAATTTTACTATGTGTCGAATTTGAAATTGACTGGTATGGTCGAGCAAAAATGGTTCAGCATTTTTTACTATTTTGAATGAATAAAAATATATTGTTTGGCTATATATACGCTGTGTTACGTAGTTCCTACACTAACTACAGCGTCTGTCAACTCTTTATTCAAGCCTGACAGATTTCGTCGAAATTATCACTCAGGCTTGAATGTAAAGAAGATTATGTTCTTGCGTTATAACACTATTATGATTGGTTCTAAGTGTAATTAGGTTACAACATTATCGTAAGCTGCTTAATTCGTCAACGACACTTTTTCAAACTGGTTACTTTAGAAACTAATATACATTATATATTCACTTCAAGTCTTTTCTTTAACGTTAGATATATTAAAAGGTCAGAGAGTTTGGTTAGTATGCTAATTTATAATACCCAGGTGAAATATCTTAATAAATTAGAACAACAAAGATTGACAGGACAAGGCACCAAAACATATTACGAAGCCATACAAAGCTTGGGTTGACTTTCATATTTTTCTACTTTGGTGAAAATGAAAATCAATTGTCTAGAAAAATATTTTTTTAATCAACATACAAAAGATATAGTTCATCTGCAATAACATTGATACAGAAGTTTTATTTTATTTTTTATCTTTTTTATATGATGCCTATCCAAGTACACTGTATATAATTAAAATATCAGAGAAGTTTCACACCAGAGATTTTTTCAGGTTGTATCTCATACATTGCGCAATAGTAAGGTAAACCTTTTTCATTTATTTGACGGGATTTATCAAATTTAGCTTTTTCATTTTTTAATTTTTTTATTTTTTCAATGTGTTTTTTTATGTTTTCAGGAAATAACCAACTGGAAGCAAATAGAATAAACCTTGACGGTTTAGAGGAGAACTAGGCCATGCAAAGAGGCTCTACTGAATACGACAAGCCATATACAATCCCGAGAAGCTTTTTTAATGGGCGACGGAACACTCTATTCTAATATTGGTGCTATAAAGTCCAAAGTAGCATCAGTTTGGAGGCGAATTTATCTATAATACTATCTGTCGATAAAAACATTAACTCACCATTTGAAATAACACAGAAAATGTTAAAACTAGAAGCTTTTTCAGACCTTAAACGTGATATGATAGACCAAACTATGGATAATTTCCTGAAAAACGTCACGTCATTTATGTTTGTAAGGGATCCGTATGGTCGCTTGTTTTCAGGCTATGAACACAAGTTATATAATCCAAATTTATCATTTTGGAAATCGTATGGAATGAAAATCGTCAGATCACTGAGGACAAATCCATCTAATATGAGTCTAAAATTTGGACATGATGTAACCTTTGCGGAATTTGTGAAATATGTTTTATTACAGAAAGACAATAATCAGGTCATAAACAGACACTTCACACCCATGCATCAGAAATGTGATCCTTGTAAATTTCCATATGATTACATCGGACATCTTGAAACATTTAAAGACGATACTGAATACCTGTTTAATAAGTGGAGAAGAAAGTTTCCCGACTTTAACATTCACTTTAATAACTTTGAAAAGGAAACTGTTTTAGACACTGCCGGAAGTCTAATCCGAAGATTATTTAACACGTATAATAAAATCAAAAGCGAATTTGAATACCCATTGTATAATTTAGTTCTCAGAGTGTGGAGTGACCTTCAAATCCGAGGTTATCTATCTAAAGATATCTCCCTTCCATTTGAAAAGCAAGACATGGAAACAATAACTGCTGAAAGTATGCTGAAAGCTGTGTCGGATGCTTTGAAAATACAAGTGAATCATACTGCAGTAAAACTACAGCGACAAGAATCATTGCAACAAGCTTACAGTACTGTGTCCCCAGAAGATATGGAACGACTGCATGAATACGTCCTGAAAGATTGTCAATTATTTGGTTACGACGACAGACCAAAGTTGCTGTATGAGACAGGAGAGCTTTTAGAAAGTAAACATACATACCTTGCCGGTATTTAAAGGAGCAATTTGATTTGACTTGATTTATACTTGTTCGTCGTATGCGATGTGAATTTATCCTGACATATATTATGTCTAATTCATGTAAACCATTTAATTCTCATATTGAGAACGATGTTGATTATGATGAAAGGAACCTTTTCTTTTCATATTGAAATGGATGTTGGTCTTGCATTATGTTATTTATGACCCTTTGTTTTCATATTGAAAACACAATATCACAAAAAAGGTTATTTGTTCTTAATCGGTGAATACATAACACCGTTAATCATCAAGTCTTCTGAAAACAAAAAATAAAATGATTTCAATTGATAAAGCAACTTTTCTTGTGTTTTAAATTATGTTTCCCTTATAATGAATATACGAGATACTAAATAGGGTTACAAAATAAATTAGATGATATTCATGACCTTAATTAGCTTTATGATGAGGTTAGAAATTATATAATTCCATACCCGATCGGATAAGTTTGAAAATGACAAAATAACTTAAAATTGTATTGACAACAAAAGCTTCGTATAAATTATAATGGCAATGTACTGAATCGGTTACAAATGAGAAATCATTAAATATGATGAACAAGATCAACAAGGAAAATTGGTGTTAAATGATCGCAACCCCCACACGATTTAGCAACAAAGACAAGCGGCAAGGAGCCCAGCAGGACATAAAACAAAATCAGGACAGAGCACAAGGAAAATCACAGACAGGATAATTACCCAAATGATAAACAAAGGAAATAATACTAACCGACAAAAAAAACTAAAGAAGGCGATTCATCCACAAATCAAAGGGGAACAGTGTAAGGCCAAGTCGCGCTATAAAGTTGATAATATTACAGTCTCGGTTTGATTGAGCTTATTCACTACAATTTGTATCAAGTGAACAAACACAATTTCTAATGTGTTCATTTATACCTGTATACAATATTAACAGTATGATAAAAATTGATATAGACAGTATTATCTCCAAGAGAAGAAAATGTATATAAATTTTCTAAAAAGCAAACAATAAAATAACCATAATAAGTTATAGCAAACAACAAAATAAGGAAATATGTGACAATTTATTTAAAGAAGGCAAATATTAAGAAGCCTTATGTAGATATGAACATAAGCCTTACACTATGCTTATATAACCATTAAGACTTACAATTATATGTTCGTTAACGATATCCTAATAAATACCTTAAACATTAGGTTTCAGTTGTCAGGCTTGTAATCGTAACAGTTAACATGAAGTCAAATATAAAGAAGCCATAATTATGTTGAAATGAACATAAGCCTTTGACTACGCTCGTATAACCATTAAAACTTAAATCATATTGTCATTAATATTATCCTACCAAAAACCTTACAATTAAGTTTTCGTTGTCTGGCTTGTAATCTTGAAACGTACGGCATCTAGACCATGCTTACCATGATAAAATGAACAAACTTTATAACACTTTTGTTACCAAGGTTATATTTTTGGCTGTCCAGATTCCTTATATTCATAGTAGTATGCCTATACTTACCATTATATATCAGCTGCAGCAATGTAGCTGGACAAGTCTCATTAAGGACGCAAGTTTTGGATGAGATGCAATATTCCGCCATTCTTTTGCGAACTTAGCTGGAAAGAAAACTGATCTACTTACTTAATGCAAGTTTAAAGTAATGGTACGCTTTTCTGAAAAAAGAAGATTTTTTTGTTTGTTTGTTTCAGTTTACGCCTTTTCCCAACAGTATTTCAGTCATATAGGCGGGTAGTTTCCTAAACATCGTTCCTGGAGAGTTAAAAAGAAGAAGAAAACAATATGAAATGGTATAAACAAAAACTTTTTCTTGTGTAACGAAGAAGACATTACACTTTTATTTACAAAACTCACAAAAATATCACATGTATTGATAAATGAATGATATATTTCGATCTTTATATTAAAGTTTAAAAAGGAAGTGTAAAACTAATGAAGCTTTTAGTTAAATAGAAATAAGCACTAGAAAACAAAACAAAAAATGAGAATAAAAATAAAACCACTTTTAGCGAAAACAGATTCAAATATGACAAATACATTTGTTGTCGAAATGCTATTTGTAATCATTTTACAGATAAATTGCCCGCTCTTTAAATGAAATTTGTTTTTCATTTTATTTATCCAGTTTGAACATATTGTCTATTGTAGATACATGTATCCATTCCTCTAAGCATAGATAGTCAGTCATTTGATAATTAAAACATACCAGACTGAAATGACTGTGAAATTGTGAATCATCAAAAAATTTAGAATTAAGGAGCGTCAAAGAGGTTGTATAAGAAATAAACTGAAGGAAGAACCTTACCAAATACTTTCTCTGCGAATGAATATTTTCCGAACAACTTTGCATTACTAAATGGATTACAAAATTATATATTTTTCTTCTTCTTTTCAAATTCGATAAAATAACAATAATGTGTATGTTTAGAAGAAGAACACCAACACCGGGTAAAATATAATAAACAGATTTTCCATCAACAGAAAATTAAACATTATTATATTGAATTTCACTAAAATCCCTGCAAGGTAAGACCGATCAAAACATATCTCATATATACAATATGTCACCATGATTAGTATTTCTTTGAACTTTAAGACAGGATTGTGCATTTTGTATATCGTATATAACAAGAGGCAATTACCATATTTACCTTTGATTTTACTATTGTAATAATTGAGTTTTAGTGCAATATTTCTATTTTGCATCATAGATTAGGGACCTTTCTGTTGAAAATGTGTCAGAGTTAAATCGTATACATATGCATGCACAGTGCGTTAACTGGAGAGCAGGTATTAGTTACCCGCACTCCAGAGCATGCCCATTGATTGGCTCATTTTTGCTGGGGTTTACTTATTGTGACGGCAGAGAAAAAGAAAGCGACAGAAATATCATATTCAGATGCTCGTTCATTGGTTCCTTTTTTATGGGGTTTTATTTTGTGACAACAGGCAACGTGTTTTTTATGTTTGACTATGATACAAAAGAGAAATAACATGAAAACACTCGGCAATCTGATTAATACTCGGTGGCTACGCCCCCCCCCCCTCGTGCAAATCAGATAACCGCATGTTTCGATGCTATTTCTATTACTAAAAGATTGACCACTAAATAAGATATTACGGAAAACTTCTTATTTAGATTCTTTTCTTGCTACGTTCCGCAAGAGGGAATAACTATAATTTTTTGGACGTAAAGGTAAAAGAATAGCCAAATATTCAATCTATGCAATGGGAGTTGGTGGGTATGGAGGAAAGTGTATGGCCGGGGAGGAAAATAAATGGGATTTTAGAACAATCGATCGGAAACGTGAACAATGACATATTCGAACAAGGAATATTCGAAAGTAAAGAATTTTAAAAATTCAAAATTTATGAAATGATAAAAAGTAGATTCCCATCCGTTATCAAAACAAGAATAATTTCAGAAATATGTTGAACTTTTTGAAAAACGACAATACTACTGCGTTCAGACGCAGCATTTGAGACGTTAACTGACTTACTACCATTCCAATTTTACTTATTTAAAACGTGATGGTATCGATTGTTCAATTAGCGTCTGTGGAGATATTGTAGGCTCAATTAACGCGTCAATACCTTGTTATAAGGACATTGGACACAGCTTGCCACCAAATTTGTCTAATGTATAATTACGGAATTAAAATGGTTAGCCGTGTTATTATGTGTTATTATATAACAATCAGCAGTTTAAACAAGATATGGAGATGTTAAAGCATTGTGGTAGCGTACTAGTCATATTTAGTGTTACTATTTTAATATACATTCTTAGTCAAGGTAATACCAATTTTGTATTGATTTGAATATTCAATAATAGTTAAGAATTTCATTAAAAACTATTTTATCGCTGATAAATCTTATGCATATATAGATTAGCATCAAATGATCATTTATATCAAAATTTATTCAGAACTCTTTTTAGTAAAATACTGACATACTTTTCTTATTTTCGTTTTAATTGACGAAATTGTAAGATAATATATATTCATCTTGATTTATTTGTACCTTACCCAGATGTTACAACTGGGAATATGATGTTTGTGATTTCACAAGAAACAAGAAACTTGTCCGAGGATGATGAATTTCAGGTTTGGTTTTGGTTTTTTATTTTAATTTTTTTTTATTTCATATTTAAACTAGATTCTAGTAATAGAATTGAAATATTAATACCAAAAATGGTTCTTAACATGCATTAAAATTGTCAAATGATGTTATTAGATTAAAGTATGAAATTTTGTAATAATTAAGGATGAAACTATATTTTCACATTTTATCTCACCTAAAAAAATCAAACACATGTATTTATCTGTGAGATTATTATGCATTGTTGATTACGATACTGAATTCTATTGGACTAGCACACAGCTGTAAAACTATATAGGTCGAGGCCAAGTCTCCTCGTATTATGTCTTTAAGTTTCCTGTGTCTACTCGATCTATGAGACCATCGAGTCGTTGTTAAGCCTTACAAGGTCTAGATAGCTAAAAAATCGACGCTATCGTTAGATGACCCGACTTAGTGTTTGATATGTTTGGGACAGAAACTAATGCAACTCCGAGTATTAATAGTGGTGGTTGATATTTCGGGGTTTGTTTAGGGTTGTTTTACTCTGAAAATGAAAAAGGCTACAATGAGTACAATAGTCATTTGATGTTAAATGTATGACTCGGAAAATAATAATGAGGATAATTTTATAAAATAAGTTCGATTTATGATTTATATTGGAAGAAAGCTTGAAGTTCTTTGGTTATATCTTATTAGATGTGAAATAAATATTTTTTTAAGAAATATTTAAACGGTATCTTTGTAAATATAAAATAAACATGTTTTAACTTCACACAAAGTAGAAATGTTATGTTTAAACTGCTACACTGTATAGGTGGTCACAATATGAATATGAACTCGTAGTCATTAACAAAACTGACAGTTTTTTTTTTTAAATAAAATACCAACTTTACTTTACCTGAAACAGGAAACGCAGCTTATACATAAATACATGTAGTTTATTAATTCTTTTATTCAAATTAGACATATTCAATAAGAAATTTATAGACTTCAATAAATTGCTGTAATTATTATATATTATTCTCAAGAATGAGCATAGTATATCTTTAACAAAACCCACATTAAAAAATGTTTCAGGAACAGACACGACCGGTTGAAAGTTCAAACAGGAAACATAAACTCAAAATAGCAAAAGCGTGTGAGGATCAAGGCACTCCGCAAGCTACAGAATTAGAACAAATGAAAATTCCGGACTTTATTTGGGTAGAAAAGAAACACTCTCTTCTTTACTGTGCAATACCAAAGGTAGCATCGACCTTTTGGAGACGTACAGTGACCATCATGGGATCAAACGAAAACGTTAACTCTCCTTTTGAAAGCAAAAAAACTGACCTGAGAAATTTTGGTAACTTAAAAAGAGACATTAATGAAAAGAGTGTAGATGATTTTCTGAAAAATGCAAGCTCGTTCTTGTTCGTACGTGATCCATATGGCCGGCTGTTCTCTGGGTATGAACATAAATTATATAATCCAAATTTATCATTTTGGAAGAATTATGGTATGAGAATCGCCAAAACAGTCCGGCAGAATCCCTCTAATGAAAGTCTCAGATATGGTCATGATATTACATTTGCAGAATTTGTAAAGTATATTCTGTTTCAAAAAGATAATCATTATAGAATTAATCGACATTTTACACCAATGTACCAAAAATGTGATCCATGCAGAGTACCATATGACTACATTGGCCACTTAGAAACTTTTCGACAAGATGCTGAATATCTATTTGGTCTTTGGAGACGCAAATTTACGGACTTTCATATTCATTTTAATGACTTTGAAAAGGAGACAGTATTAGACACAGCTGGAAGTCTGATTAACAGGTTATTCAATTCATATAATAAACTTAAACCTGATTTCAAATACCCTTTCTATAATTTAGTTCTTAGAGTATGGAGTGACCTTCAAATAAGAGGATATTTATCTAAAGATATACCACTACCATTTACAAAGGGAGATGTAGACACGTTAACCGCTGAAAATATGTTGAAAGCTGTATCTGACGCTTTGGAAACTAAAGTTAATTTAACCGCTGTTAAGCTACAGCGACGAGAATCTTTGCAACAGGCGTACAGCACAGTGCCACTTGAAGATATGGAACGACTACATGAATATGTTCTAAAGGATTGTCAATTATTCGGTTACAATGACAGACCAAAGCTTCTCTACGAGAGAGGGCAGCTTCTAGAAAGCAATCATTTATATCTTGCAGGTCTATAAGGCAATCAAATTGATGCAATGCTATATTACAGTGTAGAATATACTGAGTCATATATACACTTCTTGATATGTATTATTTCCTAAACTAGACATATTTAAAAAAAATCAACGAAAATATATTGCACTGCTTCTTTATCCGATTGACTCGAAGTATAAATTCTATTATACGAAAATTTGGTTTGTAATCCAACACACGTATAATATTTTTAGAAAATATATTGATAACGCAATTGATGTTTGAAAATAAATGTATTCTGTCTATTTTATTCTAGCATTCCTATTTTCACATTGAAAGCAATACTTGTATACACATGTATGTGTTAATTTTTTTCTTTCTTTTGAAATTAGATTTAGCAATTTCTTCATAATGAAGAGTGTTCTTATGATCTGTTATATCATTTTTCGATATACACGTATTGTTAATTTCTGACCTTGTATTTTCATATTGGAAACCGGGTCAATTTTGTAGAATTATTTTATATGTTGTAAAATAAAATGAGTGAGTTATACAGTTGGCCTGTGTTTCAGTCCATTTTTCTTGTGATTTGTCAAAGAATATATACAATCAAAATAATAAAAGAAACCAACATAATTTCCAAGGAATAGCCCGAGATATACTTTGAATCGCAAAGAATACGACAGTGTTTGTCAAACAAATTGTGTAATATCTGTTAATGTGTTGTATAGGATGACAAAGGTGAGCTATTAAAGCCAATCAAGTTTGAGAGCTCTAGAAGGGTGTCACCTCTAACTAATGTGTATTAAAATAAAGTGGATTTTTATATAAAACGCAGCAAAAGTTAAAACTGTGGGTTATTTTCTTTTTTTCCACGGGAACAGATTCAACTCATGCATACAGTGCAGACCGAAATAAGTCAATACAATTTTATTTTTTTATTTTATTCATTTTTTATTATTTATTTTTTTTATATTTTTTATTATTTTTTTGTTGTTGTTGTAAATATTGAAGGTTGTGTCTAGGCTAAAAGAAGAAAAAATGTTCATTTAATATTTAGCAATTTAGCAAGGTAAAGGTGAGATAGAAGCAAAAGCCTTGCTTCCTCCTGTTATCGAGAATAATAATAAATAAAATACATAAATACAAAATATTTAAGAAATACATCAACAAAAAGAACAATATATTCAGAAACAATATGGTCACAATTAGTTTGTGTTTTGTTGTTGTTGTTGTTGTTGTTGTTGTTTTGTGTTGTTTTTTTTTTTGTCTTTCGGTTTTGTTGCTTTTTTAACAAATGATTGCAATTTGGCCGACAATAATACAATAATCCGAAACCTACATATTAAAAATTTGACGAAAGTTTAAACACGTTTATTTATTGCTTTGCGTACTTTTGCAAATTTATAACTGGACAAGTGTCTATCTACTTACCCCTCACCGCGGTGGGTTAGAATCCGCCATGCATGTGAGGAAGCTATACAGCTAGCTTAAGGAACGCCGGTGGTTCTGCTAAGGTTCCCGTTTGTGCACGGAGGGGCATTAGAGGTATTCCTCTACCAATAAAGCTAAAAAGTCGCTTGATGACCATACTGTGTTTGTGCGACGTTTAAATGTCTAAAACCTAGTTAGGACTTTGCATAACTTTATTAAAAGTTAAAAAAAACATATAGGGAAAAATTAAAATTCTTATTTGCTCTTTTTATAAAAGCCTAATTAAAAGCAACAAGGTCCTAAATAAGATTTTATGTCTCAACTCCTAAAAATACTTTTATTTCTCCCAAGTAGGCTTTTAAAACTCCCTTTTAAAAGAGTTATAAAGTTGTAATTATGGTTATTTCTCCTAATTGTGAGTAAAAAGTATGTTAATATTTCTTTACATGTATTTTCTTTTGCATATTTTTTCCGTTTTAACCGAACCACTTGATTAATATTAGAATACCAAACAGGGTTTTTAGGCATTTTTTGCCTTAGTTAAGCAATAAGAAAACTAAAGACCATGACCTCTTATTTATGTTTTGATGTTTGTTCTATGAAATCTCATTAAGGGCAATAATGGCAAAACCTAGAAATACATATTAAAGTTTTGTTGACAAGTAATGAAATTTGAAACATGTGACAGAGACTTAAGCAGGTGCAGTCTTAATAATAAAATAAAGAGATTCCGAAAAAAATGTAATATTAAGTTATAAGTTGAAATGATGTCAAAGGAAGATGCATCGGCAGCAATAAAAAAACAAACAAAAAAAAAACAAGCAGCCCTCAGTAGAGCAGTAACTCCTATACAATAACATTTTCATTTCTTCCAAAAGTAAGACTTTACAATAAACCTTATCTCTCTATAGCAACACATCTCTGTAACAACCAATATGTTTGTCTCCCAAAGGGTATTACTCTACAGAGGTTGCACTGTAATAGCAAACAATTGCAGACTCAGTTTTATTGCTTCTGTTCATGAATGATTATGGAAATTGCGATATCTCTTCCACCCCCTAGCACCGCCTTTTATTCGGTTTAGGGCACATGCATTCTTTTACTTGGGCAACATATGCGGCTTTTTATGGAACTATGGCACTAACATGTCTGATTAAAATTTTTTATGATAACTGCCGACTAAATACATCTGTGCATGTTTCTGAATTCTAAAAGTCACCATTATAATGTTTAAATGATAAATAATGCTTAGGCCGGTGCTGGGGGCAAAGTGTAACTTGCAATCTCCAGCACGGTTCATGACCAGGCTCAATCAAACCGAGCCTGGAACATTTTAAATTTTATCGGTTTGGACGTTCTTTATGGATTTTATTTCTCTCTATTTCAACCATCTTCTCTAAAAGCACTGGAATCTTTTATCCTAAAAGACCAGTAAAATGTGCAAAACACTAAGATTAAGTACGAGAGCCAGTTTAAAATCACGCCATTTGACTTCCGGAATGTAGCATATTAGTGTTTTATTACAGCACGGACTTGATTTGATATATGAATAACATAATCTGATTTGTATATTCTTGGAAGTGTATTGATGTATTTAATCTGGTATGCATATCCGCAATCGTTCATAATTAGCAAAAAGCAATAAGAAGTACATACTTAAACCGAAAATTGTGATCAACCATATGTCACCATTTTCTAAACTTCAGAAGGATTACATGCTCTGCTCAAAAGGTATCATTAATTGCAATTAACACGTCAGTATATCCGGCTACAGAACCACGCAATGCCACAGATAAAAATTATCGCATGTAATCGTTTTATAATAAGTATAAATGTTCGCATACAATTACATTGTATATGATATCAAGTACAAAATAACATAATTTTAAGAAACATTATGAAGCATTTAGGAATGATTTGTCAATATCTAAAAATGATTTTATCCATTGGGCATTCTACTTTTGATCATGATTAACGAATTGGTTTCTGATGAAATTATATTGCATAGCAAAAACTAACATTATACAATATGTCAGTTACAGCATTAAACCCATAAAAACTCCTGAATATTTTATGAAATAAGGGGCATACAAGTTTCAATTCGATTTAAAATATTACGATTATAATTTTTAGATAATTCATTTCAATTAGCCAATTTCTTATGACAAACCCTTATGAACAATGCAATGCTATATAAAGCTAAATTGATGCATATTGCATTGAAGCAAGCATATTATTAACTTGTTAAATCATTGCACAGCTTGGATATATGACATAAGAAGATTTGGCACTCGGACTTCAGAAGATTTATATAACGAGATAACATGGAATGTCTTAAGTATTATGGTGTTCTATTGATGATATTAGTTGTTACAATGGTTTTGTATATTCTTCACAAAGGTAACACGTTTCTTCATTTTTGTTGATCTGTCTTTTAACTAATTTAAAATCTGTCTCTCTTGTTTGTAAGGAGAGACATGAAAGTGTTATTTTCATTGATGTTCGTGTCACGTGAATGGTTATTATTGGTAATGAATCTAGGTGGGCTCAAATTTTTTACTTTTTACCCTGAATTGAGTTGCAGATATCTGACACAAAACGCCACCGCTCCATATTGTTTTACTATTTTTGATAAAGTATGGGTTAAAGTTATTCTACATTGATTACATGTGTGCTACAATCTTGTTATCAAGCGAAAAAGTCAGCCGACCAAGCTGAGCATCCGATTCTTTTTTTATTTTATTTTTTATTTTAAAATACATTCAAGGTCATTCAAACCAAGGTTTAAAATGAACATATGTCTTCGAAAACTCCAGTTCTACAATGTCAAACTTTGTCACGTTTTATGCAATATATTATGCAATAAATGATTTAGTGAGGATTTCTAAATTTAGATATTTCTATTGTCATGCTAATTCTTACTGAGAGTATGAAAATATTTGTACATGTGCAAACATGCATATACCCTGTTGATTTTGAACGGAATTTCGACATTTGTATAATTTTTAAGCTATCATTTACTTTGTATCATTTAGTTGTTGCAGAACGGTATGGTAGAACCATGAAATTGTAATACTTGTTTGGGCAGGTATTGGTTTACATGAAACTTGCACTTAAAGAGTTCGATATTTATTTTTTTTAAAATTCTTCTTTTTTTTCCTTGGTGTGAAAACAGACATCGGAGAAAATACATCGATGCTTGCAGCCGTCAAACCGCCTGAATCTGCTAATTGTTCAAATGATCCAATCAATCAGGTTAGTTGTCTTTTCATTTGACTGAAATTATTGATATTTATATATAAAGAGATGATTAAGTTGTTTGATATTTAAGTTAGACGACTCTATTTCCTCCAAGAAAGCATATAGCACTAGATCGTTTTGTATACCTTCCTTTCAAGTGAGTCTCTCGTACAGTTGATCAGCACTGGTGCCACATGGATAAACATGGTCATGACACTAATAAGTCCCAAACCCACGATCCCTGGGTTGAGAGACAGACATCTGAACCATAAGGCCACAGCCCCGCATGAGTGTATGATTGATTGGTTTCAGATTCATTCTTGTTAAGCGTTTTTGCCCTTTGTATACAGTCATCAATAAACTTAAAATAAATGTTATCAGTGTGTCGTCTTTGATTTTTTTTCAGAAACATAATCATGTTGATTAAATATTTCAGAAATATGTTAATACCTTATTGGTGGAACGGACCAACTTAGAACGTAGACTTAAACTAAATAAAGCATGTACTGATCAAGGCACACCACAGCATACCAATTTAGATCCGACGAAAATACAAGAAACAGTTTGGGTCGAGACTAAACATTCAATATTCTATTGTGCTATAACAAAGGTCGGATCAGCGTTTTGGAGACGTACATTGTCAATTATGGCTTCAGAGAAGAATTTCAGCTCACCCTTTGACATATCACAAGGTTTCTTTAAACTAGAACAATTTATTAATATCAAAAATAGCTTTAATGAAAAGGAGTTAGAAAGTTTCTTGAAAGGTGTTACTTCATTCATGTTTGTAAGAGATCCATATGGGCGATTATTCTCCGGTTATATTAACAAAATATATGACACTAATCCAGCTTTTTGGGGTAGGTACGGGACAAAAGCTGTTCAGTTGTTCAGGAAAAACCCTTCTGAAGTAAGTCTCAAGTATGGTCACGACGTAACATTTGCAGAATTTGTAAAATTCATTTTACTCAGGAAGGAACAAAATGAATCGATAGACAGACATTTCGCGCCAATGCACGAGAAATGTAACCCGTGTGGTCATCCTTACGACTACATTGGACATATTGAAACATTCCGGCAAGATACCGAGTATCTCTTTGATCAGTGGAGAAACAAATTTACTGATTTTAAAATTCATTTTGATGATTTTGAAAAGGAAACTGTCTTGGATACGGCCGGGTTACTTATTCGTCGAATGTTTAGTTTCTATACAAAAAACAAACGTAATTTCAAATATCCGTTGTATAATCTAGTTCTAAGAGCATGGTGTGATCTTCAAATTCGAGGTTATTTATCAAAAGACATTCCACTACCATATACTAAACATGATGTGGAAAATTTAACAGCGGCAAAAATGTTGGAAGCGGTATCTGCTGCTTTGGAGATTAAAGTCAATCAAACTGCTGTTAAACTCCAGCGACGAGAATCGTTGCAACAAGCATACAGTACTGTGTCCCTTGAAGACATGGAAAGACTTCGCGAATACGTGCTCAAAGATTGCCAATTGTTTAGTTATGATGACAGACCAAAACTCCTTTTTGATAGAAGTAATATGTTAGAAACTAAACATTTTTACTTGGCAGGTATTTGAAATATTTCAAATATATATTTTTGTGAACATAATAAAGCCTTCAAAGTAAACATAGAATGGGGATGTTTCCAGATAAAAGATTGACTGTACTGTTTCATATTGAAGCAATTTTTGTCTTTGTCATACTTACCTTGTACTCAGTTTATTTTCTGTATAATCAATATGTACACTAATTACAAGTAATTGTCATTTTCAGTACATATGCATGCATTAACATCAATTGTTTCTTTGTGTTTAATTAAAATATACATTTTAACGATAATCTACGTTTTGGACACCGTACATTGTTCTTACAATGACATGGTGTCAACAGGCAAGGAGCTCATACGTCTTAGCAAATTCATGTTTGTTTTCTAAACCAATACTTTCCAGACCTTTGTTAGTGATATTTGATTTCTAATTTTATGTATTGATAAATAAATAAACATTCAGATCAATCTAATCAAAATTAGCTCCTAAATTACGCTAAGCATAAGAATCTTACATTCAACCATAAGTAGTCACCTTCGCGTGGTTTTTCAAAGAACAAATCATCGGCGAGCTTTCATTGTTTTGAAAGAGATGCAGTTTCTAATTCCAACCCTTGGAGAAGGTAATTTTCACGATTTCAAGAACAAACAATCATGACGTTGCCTATATAGCCGACAGGTAAACTGACAAAACAATCTTGCCCATTAAAAATTGACTGTATTTTTTTAAGTTAATTTGTTAAAAATTACTTCAAACTTTTTTTTTAACAAAAATCAACAATTTGTTTAGCTTCCATGAATAACGGTATTTTGATGCTTCTTCTAATGCCTATCTGTAAAAATCGGTTTGATTGCATGGCTAAAAAATCCGTTTTGTGCCTAGAAAACGACCCATTTTCCTGAAAAGAAACGAATTATGAAAGTGCTTTTATAATTTACAGTTCCCACTGAAATAATAGTTATAAAGCGGAAAATAAGTTAAGTCATCTTTTTGCGTACATGACCATTTTCATAAAACAATCCATGTGCATTATGAGCTATGCATGTCCGCTCAATGCGATTAAGATTTGTTACAATTTCCTTAAAACCATTGAAAGAGTTACAGAGCAGGCATAAAAAAGTCAAAAAGGCATTGACCCATAATTGCGACTGTGGGCATAAAGTGAACCATGTAAATATTATGCAAGGACGTTCCTTGATGTGAAAAATGAATATGCAAAGTTTCTTTGATATTTTTGGAATAGTTTATCACTAACTTTCTTACAGCGTTATAACAAATTCAAACACGCTTTACATAGTTTATTTCAAACAATGATATAACATGTTGTTAAAGTAGAAAGGATTAGAGTTGAAAGATTAGAGTTGAAAGTTATATATAAAGCTAATTTAAAGGTCTTCTCCTCTATATTTGTACAATGCAGGTAAATTATGACAGTATTTGCAATATTGAAACAATGAAGTTAATTTTTAACATATTTGGAACGACAAGAAAATCGAAGTTTAAGCTAGTGAAACTAGCTATTGTTCAAAAGATCTTATTTTTAAGAATATAAATAATTGAATAGAATTAGAAAGAGGGTAAAGAAGATTCATTCGGATAGGTCAAGTTAGCAAAATATTTTGTGAAACTAAGCTCATGGAAATCGGTTACTTTCACGTATATATACATGAACTGCTTGAACAGTTTTAGAATTAATAGCATGGCTAAGATTCTGGTCTCCGTTTAGTAAGGTATGAAGTGTTATAGTACATATGTTAGAAACAGCATCAAATAGTCTGAGTCTGATATCATTATAGAAGTGACACTCATAGAAGAAGTGGTGATAACTTTACAGGAGTCCACATTGACAATTTGGTGAGGGGGATATATATTTTCTGAATAAGTGATGGTTTATATAGCTACATTCTGTTCGGAGCCGTGTGTGCATGACTTGCCATTTCTTTCACCTATGTTATAATATTTGGGGCATTTTCTTATATTGCCTTAAAGGAGGACAAAGATGAGCCATACCATGACAAAACCAACGTAATGGGTTTGCGACCAGCATGGATCCAGACCAGCCTGCGCATCCGCGCAGTCTGATCAGGATCCATGCTGTTCGCTATCAGTTATAGGGTTTTTAGCGAACAGCATGGATCCTGATCAGACTGCGCGGATGCGCAGGCTGGTCTGGATCCATGCTGGTCGCAAACCCATTTCGTTGGTTTTTTTCATGGCATGGCTCAGATATTGAGTTTTATATTTCTATTGAGAGTGAGTTCCAATCTCTCAAACTAGATGGCAGAAATGCATTATGGTAAAGAGAAGTTCGTGTGCATATTGTTTGCATACCAGAAGCATTTCGTAAATTGTACCTGGACGTTTCTCCAACTGATGGTGGAACTAAGGACGATAAATAATCTGGTGTGAGATAGTTTCTCATTTTGTAAAACAAAATAAGTTTGTGATTCTGTCTTCGGCTTCCGAGGGATTCCCAAAATACTTCTTCTTGAAGTTCACGAAGAGATACTAGTTTAGTGGTCCCTGAAACTATACGGGTGGCTTCGTGTTGAATTTTATCAAGTTCAAGTTTTTCATATTGTGTTCAGTTGATCCAGATTACATCTGCATACTCAATGAGAAGTCTTATGAATGAAAGATATATAACTTTTAGTGATCTCCTGTCTAGTGTAAATTTAAATTTTCTCATGATATGAATTCTTTTCCAAGCCTTCTCTTTGATAGAATTAATATGTATATGCCAAGAGCAATCAACCGAAAAGTAAAGACCAAGATGTTTATGACTATTTACTGAGGAGATAGGCTGATCATGCATTAGAAGTGGCAGATGATAAGGCTTAGTTGTTTTGCGTGACATGATCATAGTTTCCTATTTAGAAGGGTGAAATGTTACAAGCCATTTATCAGCCCAACTTAAAATTTTGTCGATATCAGATTGAAGAGTTGTCGCGGCAGCAATTGGATAGTCAACAATTATGTGCAAACTAGTATCATCGGCAAAGAGGTGTATGCTTGAGTTTAAATCTTCAACAATATCATTAATGTATACTAGGAACAACAGAGGCCCAAGAATAGATCCTTGAGGAACTCCTGCATTTACAGTTGACCAATCAGAATGAGCTCCAGGGAGAACGACACATTGACGTCTGTTAGAAAGATAATCAGAGAACCAGTTCAGCAATTTTCCATTTAATCCAGCATTTTTTAATTTATAGAGAAGACCATTATGCCATACCTTGTCGAAAGCTTTACTTATATAAAAAAATACTGTTCTCACTTCTAATCTGTCGTCGAGAGCCTTACAAAAGGTATTGTATAAACAAGTAAGCTGATTGACTGTTGAGTCTCCTGGTGTAAAGCCAGACTGTACAGAAGAAAGAAATTTGTTATCACGAAAAAAGTTAAAAACATATTTAAATACAATACGCTCAAGTACCTTTTCTATACAACAAAATAAAGATGTTGGTCGATTATTGTTCAGTAATGAGGGATCACCTTTCTTAAAGACTGCACATACATTTGCATCTTTCCACATTAGGGGTACCGTACTGCATTGAAGAGATTGATTGAATAGAGAACAATGAGGGTATTTAAGAACAGATGCAGTTTCTCGTATTATTCTGTTATTTATTCCATCTGCTCCTGAAGCTTTGTTTGTTTTTAAAAATCTTAGAGCGTCTTCTACATCTTGAGGGATATGTAACACATTTCTAGTTTATTTCATGGAGACTGACAAAGGTTTCTAGGAAAGTCAGTGTTTTGGTTGTCAATTGAAGCTTGTGCAGAAAAGAATTCATTCAGAATATTTGCTTTTGAAAATGAATCATAAACAATTTCACAAGTAGCAGGATTGAATAGAGGAGGAATAGTTTGTTTATCAGCCGGAGAGATGAAATCTTTAAGATGAAATCTTTAAGGAGTTGCCACCAGTCTTTTGATGTTAGAGTTTCTGATTTTAGTGAATAGGCCATTTTTTGAAAATAGTTTTGTTTTGCAGTGCGAATCAGAGATACTGCTTCATTTCTTAATGTTTTAAATTTATGCCAGTGAAGAGGATTTTGTATTAATTTAGCTCTATGGTAGTATTTTTTGCGTTTAGTAATTTTTCTTTTTTTATATGTGACGATATCCATGGTTTGTCATTTGGTTTTACATTTATGTTTCGTGTTGGCAGAGACCTAGATATCTATGTTTCTGGTGTTGGAATACACTGCTTTGCAAGTTTAAGCATATTGTTTGTAAATGAGGAAGCGTAGTTGTTGATATCGTTATCCTTAAATTGATCCCAATCTGTAGCAGAAATGTTTAATCAAAGCTTGATTGTACTGCTACATAATTTCCTCAAGTGAAATGTCTTCAGATTGTTACTTTTATATTCTCGTTTATATATTTCTCAAATATTTGGAAAAGAATAGTATCAGTCGTTAATATGGTATATACAATAAGATATTATATTCTGTCGTTAATCCATTTATTTAAGTGTTTTGACAGATCTGTTTCATATACATATTTTACATGATGTTCTTTTATTTAAATCACATTAGGTTTTACTTATTTTGTAAAAAAAAATATAGCGTTTAAGCAATAAATGTCCTCTGTTTTTGAATTTATATTTTGTCAAATGAGATCGTTCGATTCTCAAATTTCGTGGTATACCGGTATTTAGTTAATTATATCTGCAACAAGTTTTCATTGCATACTATCATGTTAAAGCTGCATTTTATAAATATATAAAACATATTTTTCTGTTGGCTTAAAAACCAAGCATTCTATAATTTCATTAACCTTTCTAACAGTAGTGTTAATCTCTTCAAATAGTGTTCATAAATAATTATTTTAAAAGGAAAACACCTAGGTAACAGTAAAGTCCGTATACGAATATTAATACATTTAGCATGCAAATGAGGACTATAATTAGCTCGTGTATTCTCTGCGTCACAGTGGTATTTTATGAAATTTATAAAATGCATAATTATCATACTCGCTAGTCAACAATATTTTCAATTAGTTTTCATCTACATCTACATTATACTGCTTAACAATCAATTCTGATTATGACTAACAGGCGCGTTGTCAGGGAACTGTTAATAAAAGAAATTATTTATATGCAAATTAAAAAGTTAAAAGAATAAAAGTTCTACAAGACTATTAATTTAAAAGACATAGTGTGCGATTTAGAATTTATAGAATGGGTCAAGCCTCTCAGTAAAGATGTTTAAA